ATATATATGCACCATCAATTTATAAATTAAGAGAAGCAAGAAAAGGAGAGAAATATTCTTATCGTATCACGGGTACACTTCTTTTTTCTTTCTTCAGAGATACGAGACGTAACAGTCCGCGACTGCTGTTTTGGCTAATTTCGATTAATTAACCTGATGGGGAAATGCGCGCGAATTCTGAGAATCTCTCGTCTCGTGACAGATAATCGTCGATCGCGGACGCGAAGGGGGAACGAGACGCGTGTCCACGCGACCGAGAGTCTGCGGTCGAAATTGCGGGCGTGAAATATGCAAATTGTTGCTTATTTTTCCCACGTATGTCGACTTTAATTATCGCCCGTTTTCGAACATGTCGCAAAAAAAAAAAAGATGAAAAAACGCACGATCGTCTTCTTCTCCCTTCTGCATCTCCTCAGCCCGGTTAAATGTTGAATGTTGATTCCTATTTTACGTTGAATATGATCTTATTTTAATCTTTTCGTGTAATTCTAATGTAAAATTAAATCTCCTCGTCGCTATTGTAAAATATGACTTGTTATTAAATGCACCAAATGTTTTTGTTATTCAATAATAATCACGCTTGAAATCATATTTTTCTCGGTTAAATTTTGTTGATACACTACTACTCAAGAGAAGAGAAGATAAAATTTCATAAATTCATAATTCTTTTAAGATAGCTTTTGAGAAGAGCAATATTCCTCTTTAGAAATATAATATACGTCGTTACATATACGTCAATACTAATTATTTTTCCGATAATTGAATTTTCAGAGACATTGTTTCCGAGAAATTTACTCATGAAAGGCGGAGGACAAAATTCAAAAATTAAACATCTGCATTTAGCACCGCATGCGCGATGAAAATTGTATTCAGAATTCGCGGTCACTGTCTAAATGTGGTTCTCAATCTTCATCGTGCTTTATTTTGAGATTGTCTTCAATATTAGAGAGAGACTGCAGAGATGAGAGACTGGATATGTATATATCTACGGTCACAAATTTAGCGGTAAATGTGAACGAGAACCACGCAGTGTTATATATGGGCGCGCTTGTTGAAAGTCCTATAAAATGCGAAATACGCGTTACGCGATTCTTCGGCATCTCGACGGACGGAAGTGAATCAATAATCCAATACAAGAACGCGAACGTATAAATAGTCTGCGTAATATATAAAAGGCTAGTGTTTACGCGTTTCTAAGAAATCACGTTCTGCACAGACATATATGTGTGAACGCTATCGCGCGTCATCGATAATTCTGAATAAATCATTGAATACTTAATTGATCATTTCACACGAGCGTATATATATATATAATGGACTGTTGTCATCATGTATACAGTCATTCATTTGCTGTTTAATTTTAGCTGTGTCGTAACAAAAAGATACGATGATTTATTTTGATTTGTATATAATTTTAACTTGGCAATCAATCTTTCACACGAGCGTATATATATATAATGGACTGTTGTCATCATGTATACAGTCATTCATTTGCTGTTTAATTTTAGCTGTGTCGTAACAAAAAGATACGATGATTTATTTTGATTTGTATATAATTTTAACTTGGCAATCAAATATAATTAGAAATAGATAAATTGTGTGTGTATTTGATCTGTATCGAAATTATTCAATTTTGATTATGATACTTTAAACTAATTTGAGTTTTGGTATATATATGTCAATTCCTTTTTAGCATTTTAGCATATCTGTCATTCTCAGCGACGTTATTATATTATTTTTAATCCATTAAAAGGATGTATTTTTTATTATTAGATAAATAAAATTTATCTCCGAATAAAATGGATTTTACGGATTTTATAATCATTAAATGTGTGCGCTAAAAGATAATGAAACTGTCATTTCTGCTCAATTTTGTATAATTGTGTCGCGGATATTTTTACGAGTATTATTCTACGTTAATTTTAAAGGATATTTTTAAATGCAAAATATACTTATGGATGTATCAAGACGCAAAATTATTTCCCGCGGTAGATACCTATCATACCATTTTAAATATTCAATCGGTAATAAAAATACGCTCAAAGGTTCGCAGATATGTTCATAGATGGCGGTTTTAGAACATTTTGGGACGCCGCATTTCTCGCAATTTGAATTAACTTCACACAGATAAAAAAGAGATGTACATATATGTATAAATATTGATTTAAATTTTTAATTGTTTATTATTATGGAAAAATATATATTGTAAGTTACCGAGTATTAAAATAATTTTAATATTTTAAGCTATCTTATGTCAATCTTTATCCAAATACTGTATATTTCTCGCGGCATATCTCATATAGATTTAGAATTATATTCACATATTAGATTTATCAATTCAATCATATTTAGATATAGATATAGATACTCAATATGCTGACATATATATAACAATGGTTTTTAAATTGTGCTGTGTGTGAAAACTTGGAGCTCCGAAACCATCAGAAATTAAATTTGTATGCAGAAAGGACTATGTAAAAGGAGCAAAGTAATTTTGGTATTGTGGGGTAATTGTTCCTTATAGAAACGTTCCGTTTATTTAAAATATTAAACCGCAAATACAAGAAATATATAATAACGATTCTCCCAAAGTTGCTCTTAAAAAGAATAACGGCAAAATGCGCGTATTATTATCCCACATATATTGATTAGGTTTTTTATTCATTGTTAGTTTGCAAGTTTAATTAAAACTTGTTTATTTAGAGGAATTATAGTAAATTAAAACGCTTTATGCATTTCGTAATGTTATGTAAGACACACACACACACAGCCGTTTTTGTACAAAAGTATTTTATTTGAAATTATATTTACGATTTATTTAAAATTATATTTATTTTACAAGAATTACACACACATTGTATATTTTGCAAAATCAAAACTTATTGAAAAAGAGAAAGTATATGTGAAATATGTTAGTTTAACGGCTCTGCTTTCAACCCCGTGTTGAATGTTTATACTGGATGTGCGGCGCGAGCAGCGCCGCAGCGCGCATGCGCGGCTCCAGCTGGCGTCTCAGCCGGCCTGACGTCAGTTGATGTCGGAGTCTCGGAAAGGTGGGATCGTTCGCGTGCTCGCCGCCCTCTCACACCCCGTCTCATTGTGTTCACTTGTCGTACGTGTGTGAAAAGGACAGTTGTGCAGCTATCACAAGTGAGATTATCCGCAAGTGGGAACGACGATAAGCAGCGAACGTCCGTCCGGAGGTACGCGAGGTTAATTTAGTTACTTGGAGTAAGAAAATTCGGCGCGGTCGACGACGCGATAGTATCGTTCCTCTCTCTCTCTCTCTCTCATCTCTCTCTCTCTCTCTCTCTCTCTCTTGCTCTCGAGGGGAACGACATCGCGCGCGCTCGATGATATCGCTATCACGAGCAGCCGGTGAACCGCCTGCCTTCCTCTCCCCTGCGGTTGACCGAAATATCCAGGCTCGATAGCGCCTACGGGAACTCGCGACGAAATCTCGCCGAGTGTGTTCGCCGTTACCTTATTAAGCGGTGTTAACATGCTTGGAAAGTCGCACGTTTGTAGTCGAGAGTGACGGAACTGGATATCGAAGCAGAAGGGCCCGACAATGAACAGATATTGCCCGCTTTTGCAGCCGGGCGTCTCTCTTTCTCTCTCTTCTTGTCTACGAGCGATGAGAAATTGTGGCGTCGTTTAGCTTATTTTTGTTATCGTAATATCGTAGCGTTTTTTTCTCTGCCCTAACGATTCTATGAAGTTTTTCTTTTCGGAGAAAAATCGATCGTGTTAGGTGTCAGTTTATTTTTTATTGACGTGACGCTGATATGATTCGATAAAAATCGAAAAGATAATGTCATCATGATTTCGACAAATCCGTGTAGATATTTTATTTTATTTTTTCTTTTTAGAGAAAAATCGTACGATTAACTCTCAAAAGTAATCTGAGACAGAGAGGATCGATACATTCCAAAACACGAAGCGGAAGCGTTAAAGCGGGTCACATACTTATCGGAACGATAAGAAAATCATAATGGCTGGGAAGAAAGTTGACAAAGTTAATTCGGTCGTTGGAAAAATACAGTTTCTCTAGAAAGTGGAATTCGAAACGCTGACGTTTCATCCACTTTATGAGATGAATCCGATTTTGATTGGATGACTAAAATCTACTAGTCGATAGCCTGTTTGTAACACTAACTCAATCTCGCGTTAAACGCCGAAAAAATCCATAATTTTTTCACTACACTTGTTGTCAGTTGTGCACAACGCAAAAGTAACATTCCAGTTCACGCGATTTAATATTAAAAAATAAGTATTTTTTGTATAGTAGATTTTATTAAAATTCTTATACAGATAATTCTTTGAATCTACATAAAATCACAAATAACAGCAAATAACGGTGGACTTATAAATAATAGTTAAACTCAGAGTTAATTTTATGCTTAATAAATCTTGCAAAACAAATTTAAAATTGTATTATAATCGAAAAAATAAAGGAAAAGTTAGATAGAAATTAGAAAATTAGATAGAACTTATATATATATATATACAACAAAAAATACAAAATCTTTAATTTACATAACACATTTTCTCGAATACACTGTTTACATAAATAAAATGATCACGATGAGACATTAAAGATGTTTAAAAAATATTACATATGCACAAATGATAAGTATAATAAAATAGACTTTAACAGATTTATGTGAACATATGAATTATAAGTATAATAAAATACGTTTAAAAAAAAAATATTTTACACGTAAAAATCATGAGTATAATGAATATAACATTTAAAAAGATAAATTATAAATATAAATATAAATAAATATAAAAATAAATATTTTAAGAGATTTACAAGTGTAGGCAATAAAAAAAAATGGATGCATAAAAAGGCAACGTCGAGTAAAGGGTTGAACGGCAGAAAAATTTAACCTTCCGTTGCGAACACTTTCAGTTTTCAGTATTTACAGCAGCTTTCAGTATTTACGATGTGCATTGCATTAAACATCGATACGTTCCCGCGCAAATAATAGATTCCGTCGTAATCAAATACGACGGCGTGCATTCCATCGTTAGATGAGAAGCGAAGACAAATAACGACGAGAATGAAAAACACGAATGCAATTTACACTCGCTTTTCATCCGAAATGCCGCGGGCCGTTATCGAGGCACCTCCGTATTGTCGCTGTGTGTGTATGTTTGTTTGCTGTTTAATTTAAACGTAAAACGATGAAAAAGAAAGAGAAAGAGAGAGAGAGAGAGAGAGAGAGAGGGGAAGTGGAAAGCGTGTTAGGGGGAACGGAGGAACACCGTTGCTGATTTGACATTTTGTTTAATTCAACTTTTTACGGTATTCTGCACGCGTTAATGACACATATATGATATTTTTGTTATTAAAAAATGTCACTGGCAATAACGAGCAAAAGTTGTAATAACACAATGATCCATTTGTCTGTATTTTATTCCATATATCTATATTTTGCTTCAAACCATCTGTGTTAAATGTTTTATTTTTCACTATCCATAGATTCTTTGACGAATTTTTGATAACAATCTTTTTTATTAAAAAAATTGATGAAAAATGTCACCTTTTCGAAAATTTTATCTTTTAACTTTGATTATTAAGTATTAAAGAAATATGGGACTAAATTTCTGCGAAAGTGTAGATATATATATATAGATGTAATAAAGTCTATCTCTCTTAAATTATATATCTGTAGATTATGCGTGTGTAAGATCTTTAATTTAAAATCTTATATATTGAAAAATTTATATTTGAATTTTATTTTGCGAAAATAAGTTTTCCATCGCTTGTAACTTTATAACTACAAACTTATCAACTAAAAAATTTATCCTGGATTGGTTTGAGGCTATTAATGAAAAAAAGCATATATATAGATTTCAAATTTAGTTATTTTTTATAATATATTCCGGAGTAATTGAAAAAATTGGAATACAAAAATTCGCTGATATTGTACGTTTTATTGCAAATGATTTCTTTAAATAATTAAGCCGCAAACAAATGTTGCTAACGATCACGATACAAAATACCGTTATTGATGCTTGTGAGTTTTTACGAAACTCTACCAAGATATCGGTACCGATAATAGTGATAATGTTTACGAATTATCGATAAAGATGACTCTGCAAGCTCGCGATCTCATTTTTTGATCTTTTATCTTGCATTCCTATATATTTTTAAAAGAACTCGTGGTTCATGTGCTATTATTAATTCCATGAATTTTCAAGAAAATCACATTCCGCGTATTGACACATTTAAGAATATGTTTTATGACATGTTCAATTTTTACGAGATATTAAAGAATTAGCGAAATATTAAAGAATTAAAGAATACATTGAAATCTTAAAAATGAATTTTACGTCTAGGAATGAAATAAATGTAGTAAAGGATGTTCATTAACTATATGTTATTGTTCTTTATCTCAATCTTTATCTTATCTGAATTTTTACAGAATATTGTTGTTGAATGTAATCAACGTCTATATATCAAATTATGGCTATTATTCGTTTTAATATATGAAGCCTTAAAATAAGTTATAATTAAAATATGAGATATTTCTTGTTTCTGTAATAATTTCTTAAATATAATTTTTTGTTTCTGTATTCGTGCCATTTTATCAAAGTTTGGTAGATATTTCCGTAGGTAAAAAATGTTTCAAATATCCTTGTGTAATCGAACACTTTATAAAAGTTTTATCAAGAGATCTATGCGAGCGCGCGAAGTAAAATAGAAAAAATCGTTATTTTTCATTTCTCTTTTCGTTCTGCCAAAGTTAACTATAGAGAAGTAATATATGATACTGAATCTACACATATAATATTTCAAAAATTATAATATTATACAGGGTGTCCCCAATTTAAATGTCAAAATTTTAGGAGCGTGTAGGGGACCGACAAACTAAGACAAAAAGTCCTTTAGAGATTTGCTCGTTTTTGCTTCGTTTTGAAGAAAATCTCAAAAAATGAAACAAATAATTTTCACCAAAAAACTTAAAACAACACTAAAATTATTAGATTTATCAAAAAGTATTATAAAATAAAAATTGTAGAATATGGAATTAAGAAAAGAGAGTGAGTTAAAATCCTCCTGAGGTAAAATTAGAGGATTGTAGATAAATACGCGACAACGCGAAATTTTGTTTCTAATCTAATTTTACCTCAGGAGGATTTTAACTCACTCTCTTTTCTTAATTCCATGTTCTACAATTTTTATTTTATAATACTTTTTGATAAATCTAATAATTTTAGTGTTGTTTTAAGTTTTTTGGTGAAAATTATTTGTTTCATTTTTTGCGATTTTCTTCAAAACGAAGCAAAAACTCTAAAGGACCTTTTGTCTTAGTTTATCGGTCCCCTACACGCTCCTAAAGTTTTGACATTTAAATTGGGGACACCCTGTATAATATATAATATTCCAAAAATATTGCGAAGATGATAAAAAAATGACAGTCATCTGATTGTGAATAATAAAAGTGAAAATTCGAAGATATGACTTATTTTGAACGGACAGCAAGGATTACAAATGGAGTTTTCAGCCTCCTCCCTCTTTTTATCTCTCTCCCTCTTAATTAAACGTTGATCCTCGCACGTTCTCCCGTAGAGAAAAGCATTTCCTTTTCTCTTTTCCATTTCGCGAACGGTGGAGGTCGCTTTTCAATTTCCCTCGCAGCTGTTACCCATTGCAGCTGTGACAGTATGTGCATGTGCGCACATCTTGTTACTATCTGCTATGTACCTGTGGCTTGGCTCAGATCGATGAGATAACAAGACTATTTTCCTTTGCAGCGCCGAATACGATAGTCGGGCTCGACTATTGTCGGATTGGAGACCGTTCGTCCAGACAATCAAGCTGATACGATTTTGTCTGCCTGGATCATCGTGTCTAAGGTTACTTTTCACTCCTTGTTGCCACCTACGTCGCGATCTCGCCGTCGACGATTTATCTTCCACGACTTCCGACAGGATCGTAAACTCACCCGGAAGGGAAACGTTTGTCGGGAAATCCGGCGAGCCTTAATGATAATAGCGACCGTTATATCCGCCGAGGGTTTTATCGACGAAGAATCTAGACGCGCGTTGGTACTGTCGTTTCTGTCCGAAGTCTCTTCGGGAGTTCCTTAAATTGCGAAAAATGGAGGAATCCTCTCGAATCATCGATCTCGAGCTTGGCTTTCCGTAAAGACTAATTTAACGCGTGTGTTTTTGGAGATAACTGAAGATTTATCCTCGACAGCGCTATCACCAGCCGTGCGACGAGACGAATGCGCAGGAAATCAGAGAGAGAGAATGCTCGGTTGGTCGTCCTGGACATGGGATAGATGATGATATCTCGCGCAACGGCAACGATGGGGCGGTAGATCGAGATCGATAAATGCAAAATGGATTGGGCATCTCGGATCAGGTAGCAAGGAAACGACAAGAACAGTCATGCGACCAGCAATCAATCGTCAACGGGAATCATCCTAATAAGGCTTCGTTCTCGTTACGCTCTGCTCCGTGAATAGCATATCCGCACTCTCCGATTGGATCCTCGCGTTTCCGTAAGACTGTCTCATATTTTCGGAATAAGTCATTTTTTTTCTATTCCTTTCATTTTCCTTCATAGGAAAAGATTGACTCGACTCTCTCTTGTGATCTTTAAGACTGTCCTATATTATTTATTTCCTGCCGTGCCACCTGTCGCCCTTTATCACAGTAAAGACTGAAGTTTAAGTTAATCGGTTCATCGGGAAATTCGCGTGGCCGACCTTTGATCTCTCTATCTATTCTTCTCTCTCCTCCTGAGAAGCGAGAAATAGTTCGAGAAATTAATATATGTTGTCAAAGTTCAAAAGATCACGCGATCCGCAGAACTTCTTCACATTTCACACGCGCATTCGATCAATCTCATTTTGAAAGACTGATCAAAATACAAAGACTGATTTGCTATTGCCCCGCGTTAATTTTGCTCCAAACGATCGAAAAAAGAAGAACAGATCACATATCTTTACGCGTACATATCCTGCGTGATCTTCTTAATTCGATAGTCGTCAAATCGTTTATGGGAAATTATCGGAGACTAAATATCGTACGTGCTTCGCGAAACGGATTGTACGTGCTCTGATATACGGCATGTATATACAGATACAAAAAGGATATATACATGTGTGTGTATAAATGAAGAAGATTCCGAATGTCGCCTAATGTACACGGAGGAAGTGGCGTATAGCGGAAGTCGCTCGGTGAACGGACGTATAAATTGGAACGCATCGATTTTCTCTCAGGATCAACGATGACGATGACGTGAATACTGGACGAGTCGTCGCGATAAAGTGATCGATCCGTGGATATATTACGGACGCGTGATATTTAGTGACGCACACACACACAAAGTGAGATTAGTGTTACTGCTGTATGAGGACGTAAGGGTACAGGATGGGTTGTGGACAGAGCAAAATCGGCAATATCTATCCGAAGAACAAGAAGAATAAAAACAACAGCGCGAAGAAGAACGGCGACTCCATCCGTGAGTAGAGAATATTTTAAAGTTTAAAATTTAATGAAAATTTATATAT